CAGTATATAACATTAGTGGTTTCTGTCTCCAGTAAAAGTCTGACAATCTCTACAGTCACCAGTATATAACATTAGTGGTTTCTGTCCCCAGTAAAAGTCTGACAATCTCTACAGTCACCAGTATATAACATTAGTGGTTTCTGTCCCCAGTAAAAGTCTGACAATCTCTACAGTCACCAGTATATAACATTAGTGGTTTCTGTCTCCAGTAAAAGTCTGACAATCTCTACAGTCACCAGTATATAACATTAGTGGTTTCTGTCTCCAGTAAAAGTCTGACAATCTCTACAGTCACCAGTATATAACATTAGTGGTTTCTGTCCCCAGTAAAAGTCTGACAATCTCTACAGTCACCAGTATATAACATTAGTGGTTTCTGTCTCCAGTAAAAGTCTGACAATCTCTACAGTCACCAGTATATAACATTAGTGGTTTCTGTCCCCAGTAAAAGTCTGACAATCTCTACAGTCACCAGTAACATAACATTAGTGGTTTCTTCCAGTAAAAGTCTGACAGTCTCTACAGTCACCAGTAACATAACATTAGTGGTTTCTGTCTCCAGTAAAAGTCTGACAATCTCTACAGTCACCAGTATATAACATTAGTGGTTTCTGTCCCCAGTAAAAGTCTGACAATCTCTACAGTCACCAGTATATAACATTAGTGGTTTATGTCTCCAGTAAAAGTCTGACAATCTCTACAGTCACCAGTATATAACATTAGTGGTTTCTGTCTCCAGTAAAAGTCTGACAATCTCTACAGTCACCAGTATATAACATTAGTGGTTTCTGTCCCCAGTAAAAGTCTGACAATCTCTACAGTCACCAGTATATAACATTAGTGGTTTCTGTCTCCAGTAAAAGTCTGACAATCTCTACAGTCACCAGTATATAACATTAGTGGTTTCTGTCTCCAGTAAAAGTCTGACAATCTCTACACTCACCAGTATATAACATTAGTGGTTTCTGTCTCCAGTAAAAGTCTGACAATCTCTACAGTCACCAGTATATAACATTAGTGGTTTCTGTCTCCAGTAAAAGTCTGACAATCTCTACAGTCACCAGTATATAACATTAGTGGTTTCTGTCTCCAGTAAAAGTCTGACAATCTCTACAGTCACCAGTATATAACATTAGTGGTTTCTGTCTCCAGTAAAAGTCTGACAATCTCTACAGTCACCAGTATATAACATTAGTGGTTTCTGTCTCCAGTAAAAGTCTGACAATCTCTACAGTCACCAGTATATAACATTAGTGGTTTCTGTCTCCAGTAAAAGTCTGACAATCTCTACAGTCACCAGTATCTTCACAATCATTAAGGTTCAGAGTTTTCATGTACTAAATGATGCTCCAACGCCTTCGTGACTAGAAAAACGTTGCCCAATGCCATCCATCAAAGAAGATATGGGGTTATAGAGAATTTAAGGTTGGTACATGCTACGTTAGCTAGCTGTGAAATAAGTGTGGAATGTTTTGAAGACATATTACACAGAAACTCTTTCCCGCCCACTGCACGATTCATTTAGTCTCCAAGACTTTGAAAATCAAATAAAAAAAATATATGTGTGTCTGTGTAATTAATTATCGTCAGTCTTGATCACTTTCTACTGGTTTCGTTTACATCCTTATCGTGATCCAATCAGAAAACTTTACGTTCATAACCTCTTAAAACTCAAATACCCATAGCAACCTTAAGTTAGTATGTAATGCTATCTATGTAGACAGTGAGTCATATCTCTGAAAGAATCACTACAATTTGTAAAATTGTTTTCCTACATATAAAACATTGGCATAAACAACAAAATTAATTATACAACGTCTAAATGTAATAGGAACTGACAGAAAGTAAATGAAATGAGTTATTCCCCCTGTTACATCATCACAAACGACACATTTTAATCGACATTCATTGCTGAGTTATCAACTAAAGATTATCTTCCATATCATAACCAATCTGAGGTACAAACCTGTATAAGACCAAGTACACAAAAATTGTAAATAGTATTTATACAATTTAAACCACAATAATACTAAAGTAACATCTGTCAGATAAGACTGATCGTTATATAATGTTAAGAACACCATTGTACATAAAACCAGGAATAAACATCACACTTGGTTCTAAAGTCTTAATACTTGTAGTTTTCTCTATCATTCAATAAGTTTTACATATCCTTTAAAAGTGTCCTTTTTATAGTCTGGCATATTGTATAATATGTATCAATATTGTTAAAACCAATACCAAATGACATCAAGACTAAATATAATGTACAAATTAATATTCAACTAACAAAGATATCAACCTGTAAGTCAGTATCAAAATAAACGAAAAGTTTGAAATATTCCTCTGACAGCAACATTATTACTGTTAAGCAGTTTTTGAAACTTTAAAGATATAAATACATATATCATTTTCAAAATAACACATGCATCAACAAGTTGGTTGCTGAACGGATTCATCATTTTCCCTTGTGTCAATGAAATAGTCCTACAGATAATTTGTCTATGTTGATTTCCTCCAATATGTAAGTTTCAAACTGACATACAGGAGCTAAGCTACAGCAAGGCTTTCTATATACCCCTTGACACACTGAAGGATTAGGCATTTCACATAAATTTTTACTATCTTTAATTGTGGCATCACAACTTAAATACAGGTCTGAACTTAAAACACACTTTTCAAGAAAAAGATCTTGAAAAAAAAACTTGAAATCTTTTTTTTTCTCTCATATAGATCATGTCTATATTTTCTAAAATCTCAATTTTATTCACCAATTTTCAAATGGTTCCCCTGGTAACCATAACCTAAGAACATGTGTACCCATGGGACAACTCAATCTAGAAACAAACCACAAAATTTGGGAATTCTGCATAATTTTGAAATAATTTTTGTACGTGAAAGGTCTGTGAGATGTAGGCATATTGATTTTTTAGAAACTAAACTCGCAGCTGCATATCAAATAGTGTTTGTGACGTGTAATGTGTCCGCAGAGTATCATAGAATTACCTAACTTGTAGGTACGGCCAGCCTACCAGCCCCGTTTATCACTCCCAACCAATACACTAGCTTCCACAGAAACGCGAAAAAAGAGGAACTCGGGACGAGAAATTTACATCATTTCGTTACACAGGAAAGACTTAACGATCCCCCCTTATAAATTTGTGATCAGGAAACACATTCTTTTAAAAGCTAACATCCTCATTAAATTTGTATTGTTCCATCGGTATAGTTTTCACTGATTGTTCCCGTTTTTTCAGAGTCTATACAGATGTACTTCTGACTGAATTTTTTGCTTTACAACATTCTACAAGTAAATGGCCAGCCTTTAAAATCACCAATGTTGACGGGCACTAACAGAAAAATGCTTCATTATAAATCTCATAAAGCAACAATGTTTTTCTGGAAGGAGTGATATAATTACGGTTGTTTTCAGTAATAAAGAGAAGAATGTCATGAGAGTGCAAAGAATGACAGTCTATTTAGATGTTTGATGTCAGATCAGTCTGTTTAAATGTTTGGTGTCAGATCAGACCGTTTAGAGGTGTGATGTCAGATCAGACAGTTTAGAGGTTTGGTGTCAGATCAGACCGTTTAGAGGTGTGATGTCAGATCAGACAGTTTAGACGTGTGATGTCAGATCAGACTGTTTAGACGTGTGATGTCAGATCAGACTGTTTAGAGGTTTGGTGTCAGAACAGACTGTTTAGAGGTGTAATGTCAGATCAGACTGTTTAGAGGTTTGGTGTCAGATCAGACTGTTTAGAGGTGTGATGTCAGATCAGACTGTTTAGAGGTTTGATGTCAGATCAGACTGTTTAGACGTGTGATGTCAGATCAGACTGTTTAGTTTGATGTCAGATCAGACTGTTTAGAGGTGTAACGTCAGATCAGACTGTTTAGATTGATGTCAGATCAGACCGTTTAGAGGTTTGGTGTCAGGTCAGTCTGTTTAGAGGTTTGGTGTCAGATCAGACTGTTTAGATTGATGTCAGATCCAACTGTTTAGTTTGATGTCAGATCAGACTGTTTAGAGGATTGATGTCAGATCAGACTGTTTAGACGTGTGATGTCAGATCAGACTGTTTAGTTTGATGTCAGATCAGACTGTTTAGAGGTGTAACGTCAGATCAGACTGTTTAGATTGATGTCAGATCAGACCGTTTAGAGGTTTGGTGTCAGGTCAGTCTGTTTAGAGGTTTGGTGTCAGATCAGACTGTTTAGATTGATGTCAGATCCAACTGTTTAGTTTGATGTCAGATCAGACTGTTTAGAGGTATGATGTCAGATCAGACTATTTAGAGGTATGATGTCAGATCAGACTATTTAGAGGTGTGATGTCAGATCAGACTATTTAGAGGTGTGATGTCAGATTAGACTATTTAGAGGCTAAAATATCCAGAAAAAGTGGTCAGCAATTTTTATTTGTGGAAAGAAGTTGAAAGGAAATGTTTATTTGCCACTTTTTTGACCATCATAATTCTTTACTAACAATCTGAAGGCAAGAAAACCTCAAAAAGAAGTTGATTCTGCCAGCCTACAATTATGGACTAAATGACATAGTCAGTAAAACCATAAATTACTTAATCTAGTGGATATACTTAATATCAATATTCCACATTCATATTTCTGTCAACAACACAAAATATAGAAATATAGAAACAACTGGTGTGGATGTGTGAAGTAACGTTAACTGTGTGCTGACTGACCAGAGAGTGACCTTTATATACATAGGAAATGCACATGCCTAAATACTGTCTTGTGTATGTGCTCCCCAGAAAGTTTCTTTAATGTAAGATAGGCATCGACTGTCGAAAACTAGGTAACATATACTTTCTTAGAAGAAAAGTACCCTATAGTGTGTCGTAAAATTGGTAATGTATACTTTTACACTGAACTACATACACAAACACATATTCACACGGTTCTGTAAATATTATCATAGGTGTGACTTTGCAGTAAACTGGGTGTGTTTTTACATCTGAATACGGGTGTGGCCTCACCTGGGTCCATGTGATCTCCCTGCCAGCCTGATGACCCACTGCTACTTAGATTAGCTGAAGACTTGGCATAGTAGTTGCTCATTGTCTCATTCTCGTCTCCAACACTCTCTACATCATCTTCTGCTGACGAGATTGAACTTATGGTGTTGCGCTTTAGCCGCTTATGTGGGTGGCCAGAGGGGCTAAGGGCAGACTGGCCATTGGGCATTCCCGGGTGTGGCATGCCACCCACCACCTGGGACTGTTCCTGAGGGCTGTAGTTGTAGTAACTGGGACTGTCCATCTGTTTACTGGGCGGCATCATAGGCACTGTCCCATTCTGTGGCATCATGATGGAATCTGAAACACGCAGATTTTCACAACATAAACCTTTTGAATAATCATGGACATTGATATTACTTAAGTCAGGATACAGAGATTGGGTTTGATTTTGCACAGTAAGGACATCAATATATTGCACAAATATCCAATGTGACCTTATAAGCTTGATGTTTGACAATGACACCATGATCATGACCATATACCAAAAACCTACTTGGCTATTTCCTAAGAAATAGCAGTAAAAATTTTGATAGGAAGAAGAAAGGATTTATGACCACCATGATGAAAATCCAATCAAGATCAAAAAAGCTACATAATGAATATGTCTCATAATTCTATCAGGGAAAGTTCTAGAGAAAAAACAATAATGAACTTTAAAGCGACAATTAAAAAATATTCAGTGATGGTCCCAAACTTGGTCTCAAAACTGAATCCAGAAATACTCTTGAAACTCACACCTTGCACAAATTTTGAACATGCCCATACATTTTCAAGAATATACACATCAACAGATTTGTTATATTTCAAATGCGGAAATCCAGAACGACAGCTAAAGGCAATGTTAAATATCAAACTGAATATGTGAAATGCATGATGCAAAATTCAATTCATCTTAAATGTCTGTAATTGGTTTTAGGTATCACATTTTCTGGGTCATAAGTCGCACCAATATAAAAATCGCAGGGCCAAATTTTAGCAAATTTTTTCTTGATTTGATCCACATAAAAGACATACTGGAATATAAGCTGCACCCTTTCTTACAATATGTTGACCACTATTAATTCTTACAGTCCCATATATTTCTCCTTTAAGTTACATGAAGCCATTTGATATTGTCAATAAGCATGGCAAATGTTCTAGAATTTGACCTATAAGAAGTCACGAAAAACCAGAAGATATTTTTGTAATTCATATTAAAAGTATGTTTAATTAAATTCATGAGAATGGGTTTTTTTCTCAATCTTAAAATTATCCTGTATACGGTTGCAAATGACTGTTCTAGACGACCTGTTTCAGTAACAAACACCCATGGACAGTTCGTCATAAAAAAACTGAACATGGACGTCTCATACTGGTGTACTGGTATCCTTGGTTTAAATCTTTATTCTTTGTGGAAGCCTGACATGTTACAGCAATTATTAGGGTGCGAGGTCATGCAGATCAATAGTGTATGTGATACACCTCAACAAAATGGCCGCTCCAAAATGCATAACGGTCCGGAAACAATGTCCAATGATACTCTTCATTTTTTTTTCATTCTGCAGATTTTTCGTCCACATATAAGCTGCATTAGTATTTAAGCCGTGGCTGATAACCAAGAAAATCTGGTACTAAATATACTGTTCTCAGTATTCCAGGAAAACATCACACACTCATTTACTAAGATCTTGGAATGTAACTATAAAACAATTTTATTTTTGTTTTTTTGACATATTCTACATAAAATAATCAACAAAAGCATTTGCATTTATAATAAACAGAAACACTTTAATCAAAAAGACAATCTGGCAAATTATAGTTTTAGCTGATGTAGGTTGTATTGTATGTCAAAGTGACTTACTTTTGATACATGACACAATGTCTCACTACGGTGAACACATATCCCAAAAATTAAGATCCTATGATTAGTGTAGAAGCCAAAACAAATTTGTTCTTCAGTGTAAGTCAAAGGTCAAAATTCAAAGTCCAAAGTATTAAATGAGATTTGTGGTGTAGAAAACAAGAGCCCTGACAAAAAAGACAGACGGACACAATGCAAAACCACAGTCCCATCAGGTTTTCAGTGCGGGAACAATAATTCAGTGTCTATTAGCTTACCATTCAACAAGATAATGTTACTATAACTTTCTATTCTATGGATTCTATAAATTTCTATTGACATAAGTTTTCAAATTTCCTTTTTTTCTTTTTTTTCTGGGAACAGCATTTCACACAGTGAGGCACATAAAACCAAGAGAGATGCAGAGAAAAAAGTAGTATATATTGCTAATAGTTTAATGGTTGAAACAAGATATGACTTGGATATACTATATTAGATTATTCAGTTTTCTCTATTTTTTTACAACACTACAGAATAGTAAATGCTCCTCATACACCAATTCTTTTGGAGTACTCTCATCCAAAATTTAAACGAAGAGTGAGGTACCTGATAACATTTATTCTGATAAAAGAGCCGCCATACGGCTTACATAGACAGAAAAACCCCAAAGGAGCTGTCCCAAAAATTTCAATCTTTAAAACCATTAAAAAGAAAGGCTGCCCAGCTCCATTAGAGATACACGCAGAAAGCCCTTGAAATAGAAAAGTGCACATTTTGAAAATATCCTGAAATTGTAAGTAAAAAAAAAATCAATTTTATGTGAACATATAAGTATATCAAGTCCCTAAGCAGAGACCGTTTCTTACACAGCCCCATGTTTTACAATCAATACAAATAAAACTGCAATGTACATTTTTTTGTTTCATTTTTTACATTTTCATTTTAATCCATTTTTCCTTCTAGTTATTTCTTTCCTGTTTAAACTAAGCTATCTGAAATACTTTCCATACAAGAGTGCATTTGTTTCTGAAACTCGCAAAAACTAAGACCGTAAGACCTATAACCAGAGACATTGGACGTTGTCTGAAGGCTAATTTATATTCCGTTTACAATTGAAAAACCATACTATCTCATTCTTGATAAAAACTTGCAGACCTTTCTAAGCCTTCATGTGATGGCCTTTTCTACCGTGTAATCTGACAAATCAATAAACCATTACTAAATGTTTTTCTAACAAGCTTTAAATGTCAATTTAGACAAATCAGCAGTATGTATCTGATCACATACAAAGACTAAGTTTAAGGCTACAAGTCACCTAATACAATTTCTTATTTTGTGATTTCTGTAAGAGTTATGTCCCTTTAAAAAGCTAATATTTGACTTCACATTGCTCCCATCCTTGTTCGTTCATGTATCTGAATGCACTGCTCATTCCCTATTCTACTACTTGTCTGATACAGCAATGCTCATTCCTTACTCTCCTACTTGTCTGATACAGCAATGCTCCCTTCCCTACTCTCCTACTTGTCTGACACAGCACTGCTCATTCCCTATTCTACTACTTGTCTGACACAGCAATGCTCCCTTCCCTACTCTCCTACTTGTCTGACACAGCACTGCTCATTCCCTATTCTACTACTTGTCTGACACAGCAATGCTCCCTTCCCTACTCTCCTACTTGTCTGACACAGCACTGCTCATTCCCTATTCTACTACTTGTCTGACACAGCAATGCTCCCTTCCCTACTCTCCTACTTGTCTGACACAGCACTGCTCATTCCCTATTCTACTACTTGTCTGACACAGCAATGCTCCCTTCCCTACTCTCCTACTTGTCTGACACAGCAATGCTCATTCCCTACTCTCCTACTTGTCTGACTGCAATGCTCATTCCCTACTCTCCTACTTGTCTGATACAGCAATGCTCCCTTCCCTACTCTCCTACTTGTCTGACACAGCACTGCTCATTCCCTACTCTCCTACTTGTCTGACACAGCAATGCTCCCTTCCCTACTCTCCTACTTGTCTGACACAGCACTGCTCATTCCCTATTCTACTACTTGTCTGACTGCAATGCTCATTCCCTACTCTCCTACTTGTCTGACACAGCACTGCTCATTCCCTATTCTACTACTTGTCTGACACAGCAATGCTCCCTTCCCTACTCTCCTACTTGTCTGACACAGCACTGCTCATTCCCTATTCTACTACTTGTCTGACACAGCAATGCTCCCTTCCCTACTCTCCTACTTGTCTGACACAGCAATGCTCATTCCCTATTCTACTACTTGTCTGATACAGCAATGCTCCCTTCCCTACTCTCCTACTTGTCTGACACAGCAATGCTCATTCCCTATTCTACTACTTGTCTGCCACAGCACTGCTCCCTTTCTTACTCTACTTGTCTCACAAAGCACTACTCCCTTCCCTATTCTCCTACTTGTCTGATACAGCAATGCTCCCTACTCTCCTACTTGTCTGATACAGCAATGTTCTCTTCCCTATTCTCCTACTTGTCTGACACAGCAATGCTCCCTTCCCTATTCTCCTACTTGTCTGACACAGCAATGCTCCCTTCCCTACTCTCCTACTTGTCTGATACAGCAATGCTCCCTACTCTCCTACTTGTCTGACACAGCAATGCTCCCTACTCTCCTACTTGTCTGACACAGCAATGCTCCCTACTCTCCTACTTGTCTGATACAGCAATGCTCCCTTCCCTATTCTCCTACTTGTCTGATACAGCAATGCTCCCTATTCTCCTACTTGTCTGATACAGCAATGCTCCCTTCCCTACTCTCCTACTTGTCTGATACAGCAATGCTCCCTTCCCTACTCTCCTACTTGTCTGACACAGTACTGCTCATTCCCTATTCTACTACTTGTCTGATACAGCAATGCTCCCTTCCCTATTCTCCTACTTGTCTGATACAGCAATGCTCCCTTCCCTACTCTCCTACTTGTCTGATACAGCAATGCTCCCTTCCCTACTCTCCTACTTGTCTGACACAGTACTGCTCATTCCCTATTCTCCTACTTGTCTGATACAGCAATGCTCCCTTCCCTACTCTCCTACTTGTCTGACACAGTACTGCTCATTCCCTATTCTCCTACTTGTCTGATACAGCAATGCTCCCTTCCCTATTCTCCTACTTGTCTGACACAGTACTACCCCTGGGTGTTTAGTCTCAGCAGTGATTCCTCCCTGTTATTTCAACTGTTTGACTTGGGAACAGCTTCCAATTAATTTTCTTTCAGACTTGTATGACTTGGAACTAATTTATACCTACTTGTTTAAAGCAGGACTGATGTTTACCATAACTTTTTCCTCTTAAAATTCTTTTGGATTTTTCTTTCACTTTTCTTTCAAAATAAACTAACATCCGGAGTTTTCCTGTTTCTAGATGACATCATTTAAGACATAAATGTCAACTACTTCTGGTGTTGTATCTTAATTAGCTATAGTATTATGTAATTT